TAGCAGAAAAAAAAAACACATATAAAAACTTTAAGTAAGACTCCATCAAGAAAAGGTAGAGATGTTTTTCGAAGTTGTTTTTGTTGTTATTTTGTAATTAGTTATTATAAAAGAAATTTTTCTTTTTTGCACAGAAATTACGAGATCAAGTATTGAAAGCATAGATGCAATAACAATTGATATAACAGAGTTAAAAGAATTATCTTCATCTTCTGTTCAATCAGTTTCTCGTCCAAAAAATCAAATAATCGATGAAATGTTTATTGCATTGGAACAAAAACAAGTATGTTTGCTTTAATTAGCTGCATACTTCTGATGAAAATACTGTTTTCTTTTGATAAACTACAAAAGGATTCAAGAAAAAATTAGAATGCAACAAGCAAGCTTGTTGCATTCTAATTTTTTGGTCACTACACACCAAAATTATATTGTGTTGTTAAATTTGTTTAAGTATATCAATAAGATATATCAATATTACTTTTTAATTTTATTTGATACATGATTTTCACTTTAAACTAGATTTTATGAAGTATTTTTAAGTTGCATTATATAGATTACATTGAATTGCCTTAATACGATTCAACAAAACATATATTGTTGTTATAGTAAATAAAAGTATAATACATATAAGTATATGTATTTAGTTGTTTAATATGTATTTTAATTTTTTTTTAAGGAAGCTTTCAAATATGACTTTTCTCGAGCTATCTTTGCATCAGGGTTACCCTCTAAACATAGTTGATTTTCCCATTTGGAAGGAATTTTTTTCAAAGTACCTGCCTGCAATGAATTTGCCCAATCGAAAATCTCTTTCAGAAAATTTACTTGATTATGAATATTATAGGATAATAGTACTAGATTAAAAAAACATTTCTGATTCACTTTCTCTTGCAATTCAATGGGATGGCTTTTCCAATATTAGGTAGTTTGTTTACTTTTTTGAAAATTATTTAATGGTTTTAATAAACTTGAAAAACTAAAAGAAAATGTACAATTTAACAATCAAATCATTAAAAAAACTAAGTTTATTAAACAAATAATTTTTATTTTTGTCTAAATTAAAATAGTTTACTATTCAAATGTCGGATATAAAATTAGCCCTTGATAACTTTATATTTGAAGCAGGGTTGACAGATTTAGAATGTGTGGAAATGCAAAATTATTTTACGTTAAGAAAAAAAATGTCTGTCACAAACCTTCACTTAGCTGCAACTTGCTTGATCCGCAAATAAAAATTTATTCCTATCTGGTTCAGAATTTTTGGAAGCAATGGAGTATACAGAAGTGTTAGCAAAAAACTTGTCTATAAATAATAATGTTGACTTGTCAGTTGTTGCAAAAGATATTACCCAGTTTGTAAATTCTACTGGACTGTGGGCAAATAGCTATGTTGAGCAACTTGCTAGAAATTAAGATTCTATAACATATTGGCAAGCTCTAAGAAAATCTAGTCCACTCGCTGATTTGGCTATTAAAATTTTATTGATGCCATCTTTTTCAGCTGCTACTGAAAGAACTTTTAGTACTAGAGGCTTTATCCACAGAAAACTTCGAAATTCTCTAACTAATGAAAGAGCTAGTAGGTTGACTTACATAAAACAAAACTATAGGCTGATGAATTTAAACCTAAAAGATCAATTGCAAGATTTTAAAAGTTCATTTAGCAAACCAAAGAAGAAAAAAATTAGTTTGTCCTCGCTAATCCAATCATGCATTAAAAATGCAAATAAAGTACTTGATTCTACAATATGTCATGAAGAGTTTTCAAATTATGATAATTTCTCTCAAAGTATTGATCTCAGCGATTACGAGGATACAACACAATCAGAAGGAGAAAGCCATGAAAGTGAGTCCGAGGAAGATATAGATTTTGTGTCAGATTCCTCTTTAAGGGAAAATTAAAAAATATTTTATTCATTTTAATGTGCTATGAATTAATTAGTTAAACGTGTTAATTTAAACTGAATTAGTCTGAATGTTGTTTACATATTTTTTACATATAATCAAGTGTAGTAGTTATTATGTTTATCTTGAGTATTAATTCTATTCTTTCTTTTAGAACAACATCGAACAATGAATTAAACCAAGTAGACTCCCAATGGCCAGAGATAAAAGAGTATATGGTTAAAAAAGTGGAACATGAGAACAAACAAGACTGAAGTGTTTTATTTTATAAAATTTTTAGATTTTATTTTGAAAGATGATATTTTTTATTGATAATATGATATTTTATTTTAAAAGATGATATTTAATAAAATAGAAAAAATATCAACAAGAGTCATTCTTGGGAGTAAGGTTAAAGGCGACATAAAGTTTAAGTTACTTCTAGAATAGAGTTAAAATCAAACTAATCTAAATGTTGTATGATGATTATTCTTATTTTGCCTATTTTCTTCTAAAAAGAGATTGTTCGGCTCCCTATCTACGCTTATATACTGGAAGGATAAAATTGGGAAAAAAAAAGAAGCCTTTTCGTATTTCGGCCTTTTTCTCGATTATTAAACAAGTTTCTCAATTAATAAACAACGTCCTTTATGCGTGAGTTATATTTTTGTGTAAGAATGTCTACAACGACTCGCACAATAGATAAGTCTTAGCATTTTTTCTGTTTAAGACCTGCACATAATTTAAACGTAAAAAACTTGGTTACAAAAGTAGAAAAACAGAATGGTGAGATAAATATGCACCACTGTAATCAGAAAAGTCCATTAAACTTGATCAATATTTTAGGTATATATAGTGCTTACTATGAAAAGTCGAACTATAAGTCAGAAATGAAAGAATTTTGTTAGTACTGAAAAAAAGCATCTCACAAAAAGTATCTTTTCATTTTATATAGCAAACTATATTAGTTTTTTATGTAAATCTACATTAGTTTTATCAAACTATTATTGTCTAAAAATTAAAATAAAAGTAGACTGAAAGCCTTCGGAAACTTCTCACATGTAAGTGCAACTTCCTTATTTTTCATTGCGGTATGCGGCTTGTCAAATAACTTTTACAGTCTGTTTATTTGGTCAGCTTATGTGTTATGCGTTTCGCTCAACTGAATATTGCTTGGTAGGCAATATTAATACTTGATAAGCAAAGTTTAATTATTGCTTGCTTAAAATGCATCATAACAGCAGGTTTTAATATAATATTAAAAGTAATTTTTTTTATCCAAGTTTGATAAAATAAAGTAGTTATATTCGCTATGCCGCAGAGCTTTTAAATCCAATCTTTTTAAAGTGGCGGGATAGCTCAGATTGTTAGAGCGTTAAAGGAAAAGTGAAAACTCTGACTGTTGAACGATACGAGTTCAAATCCCGCCACCGCCAACTCAACGCTTGAGTAGTACTTTGGTACGCAAAAATGTTGATCAATAACGGACGCTACTTTGGATTAGTCTTAATGACTATTTGTGGCTGTTCCTATGCTAAGCCAACAATATCTTTGGATATAAGAACATTGTATAGAAAAATGTAGGATGAAAACTCAAATAAATAAATAAAAAAAATAAAATAAAAAATAAAATGACGACTTAAATTTAGCGCGTTAGTTTAAGGCAAGCTGCATATCTTGCACTTCGTCAATGAGCTATCGACTCAATTTTTCAAATGCGAAAAACACGTGTTTTTCGCAAAAACACGTGTTTTTTAAAGGAATGAAACGTCAAATTAAAAAACATGTTTATTGCCCACCACTACTAATAATATTAAATTAGCGTATTAATATTATTAAAAGATTATAAAGGATATAATTTTGTATTTTAATTTATTAGGCAAGTAAATTAAAGGCAAGTAAAAGTTATATTTATGATAAGTTTTTAATGTTTACTTTTGATAGTAGTTTTCTTTTTATTATTAAAAAAATTGAAATTTTACCTGAAAAAAATTGAAATATTATTTGACCTTTGAAATTTCAGCTTAATAAAGAATCTTTAATAGTAAATATTGTTTTTTTAATTTTTTTCCTTGATAATTTTGGAGAACTGAATCTATTTAACAAAAATGTATAGCTAAATTATCGATCAAAGATGATTTAGATTAGGCGGAGGCAATTACAAAGAAAATTTTTTTTATGACTTATAAGTACTAATCCAGATTTTTCTATATTTTATTTGTATATTCTTTGCAAATCTTTGCCATATTTACATACTTTATTTACTTTTTTTTTACTGTAGTTTTAATTTAGTTATTTTTTGTTTCTCCTTAATGATATTTTAAGTTTTATGTGTAGCACTGATAATTTTTCGCCTAAAAAAGAATAAAAAACTGTAGCGAATATATATTAAGGTAGAAAATACGGAATATGTTAATTTAATAACTTTCTTTGGATGTTAAAAATTACAAACGAATGACCGATGTTTGATGCTCATATAAAACAATATTGAATCTTTTCTCGAATCTTTTCTCAAATCTTTTCTTATTTTGAGAAGCTTCACAATAATAAAATATTTTAAAAAAGTTTATAAAAGTTCATAAAGTATAAGCATAAAGTAATCTACTCAAAACAGCTTATATTTTGGAGAACAACAGATTTTTAATAGGTAACAGGAAGAATAAGTTTGAATTACGGTATGAAACAAAAGTCACTGTAAGTGTCTTTTTTTTTTGAAACCTATTTATGAAATTATCAACTTATGATACTAGCCTAAGTCATAAGAAATACGAGTCTAACCTTCTGACTACTTAGTGCTAGAAATGTAACTACTGAAGATGTTACACTTATTATTGTAAAGTACATTTTCTACAGTGTTTAACACGAAAATACAACTCAATTCGAACTTCCTACCGTTCCCACATTGCAACATAAAACTTCGTGAAACGTAAATAAATTATAAAAAAACAGCGATTCATAAATATACGACGATATCCAACATCAGTAGAAAAACTACAGGAGTGGTTTTTATAATTAATAGTTTATTAAAAATGAATATTTATAAATCGTTTTATCAGTTGTCTAATTTAATCTAATCAATAAAGTTTTCTGCTTATTGAAGTGAGAGTTCTTTGGTTTAGAAAACGCTTTTAAATTTAAGTTAAAAAAAAATGAGTTTGGTTGAATTCTTTTTAAGGTACGTTAAGTAGTTATATCTCAATTAAAAAAAAAAAAACTTTTTTTGATAATTTATAAAATTATTGTGCTTTATCATTATAAAAAAATTTTATTTTAGAAGTACCGAAATTAAAATTAGTACATTAAAATTAATAAAATGCATCAGTAAGTTTGCGAAAAACCTAATTTGCGTATTTTCTTAAGCGATATATTGCTTTATTTATAAAGTTTATATTTTTTATGAAAAACAAAAACTTTTTATAAATAAAGCAAATTAGCAACAGTTCAAGATAAATCTATTATCTGATCTGACCAAACAGTATTTATTATACTTTTTTAGAATCTGGTTTTAGAAAAATATCTGGAATTGAACTTTTTGAATAATTTTTGTTTCAGTAAAATGGCTTTTATGAGGCATATCGGAACAACAAGTTATTTTTATAACTGACTATATTGTTACCATTTTGTTTACATTTTGAACATTTTTTTTATCTAAAATATTATTTAGAAAAGTACTATTAGTAATTAACTCAAATAAATTGTTATTTTTATAACTTAACTTTAATTATTAATAGTGCTTGATGTAAACAACAATGGTAAGAAATTATATAAGAAAGATCAATCATCCAAAATGGGATAAAATACAGTTTTAGCTATGAATAAAAAGGAAATTAGAATTCAAAAAGCTGCTGATACATAAAGCATATTTAAATTTGCTCAGGATATTTTTTGTGTGATTTATGTGATTCATAACATTTTTTGTTTAATTTTAAATTTATAAGTAGTCACTAATTTAATAATATATACTAGTTTTGCCCTACTTAAATTTTTGAACAATTTCTTCAGTTTGTTTGTTTAAAAGTTTTTTATTATAAAATGCAAAAAGCTTTTTTTTTAGTTGTTATTTTTTTTTTGGTCGTGAATGGTGTATGGGCGTTCAATTTGTATGGGTATGTTACTTTTAGGATTTTAATGTTTAAAATGTTTAAATGATAAAATGTCTCCATTTTTTATATATATAAAGGTACTTCTCTACCATTAAATAAGTGAAAAAGTTAACTTTTTTCGATTTTTTAATTTTAATGAAATATTACCAGAAATTTTACGAGGAATCTAAAAAAATACATATCCAAGTTCAAAAACGTAAACTTTTGAAGTATTTCGGGTTACTATGGTTGTTTAATTTAAGATAACTTGCATAACAACGGTTGCTAAGGGGCAATTTCTAAAAATAATATTTGTAATTTGAACGAATTTAATAAAACAAATATTTTTAGCCTAATTAGTAGAATAACCACTTATAGAGTAATTGATTTTTTTCAATAATTAGATCTTTTTATTTTTATTTGGATTTTTTGAAATATTAAATAATTTACTTTAGTGCTCACCGTTTCCCAAAATTTTTTAGAATTTTTTTGACAAAATGCTTCGAAATTTTCTCAAAAGTTTAAAAATAAGTATGACTGCAATTTGAATCTCGATCAAACATTTACATCTACGAGAACCTCTCTTTTAGATCAATTTTGACCGATTTTTTTTTGTCCTTTATCTCATAAATTCGACGCATGCGCAATGAATTTGATAATTTTTTAACTTTACTCCTAATTATTTTTAATAACTATGGATAAAATAATTTTTTTAGTTGATGAAATCAGTTAATTGAATTTTTTATTTTAATGGTACAGGGACCGTATTCTCATCTCTCCGTTAAGCTTAACGGAGCGTTAGTGAAAAATTTCTTTTTAACTATATTAATAAAAAAGTTCTTTAAAAATATAAATTTTTAAAATTAAATGTTTTATTTTAGTATTAGTTTTGCTTTAAAAAATTTAAATAAGATTTTCGTCATTTCTTTACTTAGATAAATTGTAATTAAATTTCAGACAAAAGCTCCGTTAAGCTTAACGGAAAAGTGAGAATACGGCTGCTGAATGTACAATGGTAGAGCTTTACAATTAACGAATAATTGCTGCTTTTTAACTGTCCTGCTTTGTTCCACCCACTTGCAAAATGTAGAAATGTTTCCTAACCTAGAGTTTTGTAACTTTGGTTGTCATAGCTTATTTTTAGAACTTTTTTTTGATTTTACGTTTTCTTATATTAAAAAATTATAATTGTAAAATTAAAAAAATTGTACTCAGGTTAATACGGTTACTTTTCTTTGTTCTAGAGAAAAACAAATAGAATAACTTTAAAAATTTTAAGATTTTTTTTTTTGAAAAGTTAGGCAGTTTCAAAAAGCAAACTAATATCTCGTCAATTTTTACGAGCATGCGAATTTGTACGAGTTCAGTACGAGCATGCGAATTGGCAAATTTATTATTATATTTTGCGAATATATGCAAGCTATTTGATTATATATTATATATAGCAATTCTACTTTTAACTTATGTTATACGCTCAACAACTTTATCAAATATTTGCCTATTTAAACTGTAAATTAATATTTTAGTTATTTTGTATGAAAAGTGAAGAATAAAATAATCTATAAAGATTATTTTATTCTTCAGACTAAAAGTTTATAGTTTTCTCCTGACTCTTAAAGTTATACTTTCAGAGTTATAGTGGACAAAAGAGGGCAAACTTATCACCAAAAATTTAATTTACGTTACTTAAATTTATCTAATTTACGTTACGCAGAATCAAGTTAAAAAATTGTTCCAACTTTAAGGTCAGATTTTTGCTAACCAGTAATGCAAAATGCAAAAAATTTCACAAGATGTTGACAATTCAATAGTAATTACAAAATAAAAAAATTTCATCAGGTGACCAGCCAGAAAAAATAAAAATTTTTCCAAATTTTACCAAAGGCTAGATTGGGGTTAGATGCTTCTGTATTTACTTTTTGAGCTGTGTAGCCCTATAGGGAAAATTTTTTGTAAATATCAAAGCGCAGTTTGTCAAAGTATTATAAAATTTTTTTTATAATACTCTTAAAGACTTTAAGTCATTTTAAATAATTTTTTCTTCCTATAAAGAATTTTTTTTTTCGCAAACTTATCCCATCCTGAGGTAAGGCCTCGGTCTTACTTATATATAACTTAAGGTTAATTTCCGTATATCTAAAATGGTCATGCGACACTCGTGCGACTGTCGCAAGACAGTCGCGCGACCATATAGAAACATAAGTCGTGCGACAAGTTTTGTCTTGCAAGGCTGTTTTATAGTCGTGCCATAGGTGTTGCAGAGATCTCTACGACAATTGTCGCACAACCCTACAATGCGATTGGTTGAATATTAGAAAACGAAATATTAATTAAAACAAAAAAAATTCACATTGAAATAAAATAGAAAATAATCAGGGAAGATTTACAAAAGAATTTCGTAAAGAGAGTTTCATGCAGTAAGAAAAGAAATATCTTTTGCTGTATGACAAAGTCAATACAGAATTTAAAAACAACGTTATGAAAAAAATGCTTGGGCAGCAATAAGAGTTTCGTTTGGTTTAACTGACAAAGAGTGTGAATCAAAATACAAAAACATTAGGTCGGCTTATGGGTGCTTTTTGTGAAGAAAAATAAATACACCTTCAGGATCAGGACGAATCAATATTAGCAAAGAGTACGATGTTTTGCAATTGTTAAATGTGTACATTGATCATAGAGATACGATAACGAATCTTGGAGATAAAACAGCAACAGAGATACAAAACAACAATAACAGAGATATAATAAAAAATGTTGAAGAATTACCTTTGTCATGTATAAGTGATGAAAATATGAACTATGATGAAGAATTTAGTAATCAGGAAGAATTACAAAAAGAAACTTTAAATGACAATACAAGTGTGTTAACTTTGTCTAATACATGTAGGCCAAGTACATCTAGTAATCAATAAAAATCTTTAAATAAAATAACATCATCCTATGAATATAAGAAAAAAGAACTTAAAAAGATCTAATGAAAATACAAAACTAGAAGATGCAATACTCACTAATATGAGCAATATTAATGCAACATTAGGAGTTAGTGCACTTCAAGAAAATGATGACATTACATATTTTTGTAAATCTATTTGTGCAAAAATAAAGAGATTAACTCCTAAAACCCATGCAGTTGCTAAAATAAACATTCAGCAATATTTAGCTGCTCTGGAATTTCCAGATATTGTTCCATGAAATACAATTTGTTAACATTCTTTTAAAAAATTTCAAGATTTTGTTATATGTAATTTTTAAATACAGAAGAATGAATGTGTTTTTTTCATTTTTTTTCCATTATATTGTGCTCACAACTAGTTACATAATTATGTTGCCATGACAAGGATCGACTTGGATGATTAAAATATTCTGTTAGCATTAATCTCACAGTGCTAGCATCTGTTGTTTATCGATTGCTTATACATCGAAGTAAAATATTTAAAGCATTAGCTTCAAGCGCAGTTTTTTTCCAGTCGCAGTTTTTTTCCAGTTCACCCGAATTTGTTTCTAAATCAGCAGATCCAGATGGTACATAATGAATGCTGTCATTGAGTCTTGTGTAATTATGCAAACAAATTGCAGCTTTTATGATGTTTTCAATATTTTGAGGGGTTGCTTTTACTGGACGTCTAAATATTCTTCATTTAACTATCATAATTTCAAAGGAGTTTTCAATTGTCCTTTTAGTCCTAGATTATCGATAGTTGAAAATACGTTTTTTGATTGTCAAGTTTTTACAAGCAAAAAGTTTCATTAACCAACGTTTTAACGCAAAAATATCATCACCAACTAGCACTGGTGGTACTGTGGTGGCCATTTAATAGCTGTCGGTTCTTGAGAAGTTTAAACAAATTATTTTTAAAAGCTTTACTCATTTTACTTTCATTAAACATAGATGCATCATTATCTCTACCATAGCTACCTATATCTACCAAAATAAAACAATATTTTGCATCACATATAGCTAGCAAAACCATATTATAATTTTGTAGTTGTAGTAAGTAGATCCACTTGAAACAGGAGCTTCAATACATGCATGTTTGTCATCTGTTACCCCAATGCAATTAAGAAAATTCCACTCATTTTCAAATTCATTTGCTATTTTTTCCCACTCATCTGAACTTTCTGGTGCCTTTAAATAACTTGGTTGCAAAACATCCCAAACAGCCTTTGTTGTTTCATTAATTATGTTGCATACTGTTGTTCTACCCAGTCTAAAATAAAAAGATTGTGTTTGTTGTGAATCCCCAGTAGCCAAATATCTCAGGGTCACAGTCAATCGTTCTAAAGGTAATATAGTTTGACGGCTTCTACAAGATTTATTTGTTATGCTAGGTGAAACCATTGACAGCAAGTGTTCATACCTTTCAGGAGACATTCTGTAAAATCTATAAAAAAATATTCTCTGTCATGAAGGCGTAGCTCAGGAAATAGTGTGTTAAATGCTCCTTTTTCGCAACGATTTCTAAATAATCAGCGTATCCAAAATTTGTGTTTTCTTTTTTCTTTTTACTTTGCAATGTTCTAAGTGCCAGTAATGTATTGCAAAGTGCAAGCTGGCAGTTTAGAAGATTAAACCCTTTATTCATATAATTATATAATTATATGATATTATTTTAGCTATTTTAAATATTATTTTAGTTATTACTAAATTGAGATACAAATCAAGTTAGTTAAAGTTAAGAGAAATATTGTCCAAAATAATTAAAGCTAAAGAAAAAAATCTTTTTTTTTTGCTAGAAAAAATATTTTTTGGTTTTGCAACAAGTTGCAGATGTTAATGTGAAGTAGCACAAAAAACCACATTTTTGTGTATAGAACCAGATACAATCACATCTGTTGTTTCCAATATGATGAAGCCGTTGGCTTATATTCTCAGAAAAGAGATAATGGTTAAGTTGTCTAAAGAAATGCCTGACCATGAGCATACAGTTTAAGGTGAAGTAGAAAACGATTTCAATGTACAAGATGTAACTATCTATAATATAAGTCCAGTTAGCTGGCCAATCAAATTTCCTGATAAACATCTAGTGAAACGTGTAAAACTTGTACCGAACGAGGTAACTGGATTTGACTTCTGAACAATGAACAACGCTGTTTTACAAAAGATTATTACCTTCGTGTCCTCAGAAATGGCAAAAAAGTTGAGCAAAGCTAGCCTAATTATTCAAACAAACTGATGCATTATTTTATTTTGCTGCAAACTGTTTGAGATTTCAACTTCTAACCTGCCGATTAATGAGTTTTCTACATAGCAGCACCTTTAACGAAGTTTTAAAGACCATTCAGAGAGCCAAAATCACTTAGATTGCATGTAAAAAAGATGTTTTTGCGCACCAGTTTGAATGCTAATATTACATTGAGCAAAAGATTTATGAGAAAGAACAAGGTTCATTGGTTAAAAATGAAATCTATCATTTTACCGTAATATCAAAAATCTTGTAAAAGCGGGTAATGGAGACTTTCTCGGACATGTTGAGCTGTAAGCAAAATACGATTCAATTATCGCCGACCGCATTCGACAACTCCGTCAAAAAAAAAAAGATTTTCCCATATTATCAAATCTTTTCTTCGAAACTCAATAGTTATAGTATAAAAAAATACTAACTTGTCCTGGTTCGAGAGCTATTTGACTTAAAGGAAGCAGTATATAGTACATGATGATAGAAAAACTAATTATGTGATATTAAATGTCGTGTTCCTCAAAGGATCAATTTTAGGACCACTTCTATTTCTTGTTAATATAAACGATTTAAATAAATTTGGTAACATTTTAAATACAATTTTGTTTGCAGATGATAACAGTTGGTTTTATTCCAATAAAGATATTAATGTGTTATTTTAAACAGCAAACAAAGAACTAGACAATCTAACCCTATGGTTTAAATTTAATTTTTTAATTTTTAATTTATTTATTACAGTAGTCAATACAACTTCTTGATTGCATTGATGAAGGAAAGCACATCAGGCTTTCCTATGCTGACAATGGACATTGCTGCAGCCGAAGCAGCATTTTAAACGTGTTTTTTAAAAAAGTGCATAGTGGGTGCATCAACTATATTCTGAGCTAATCAGATTATATCGTGAATTTAACAAAAAAGGCTGGGCTTGTGGTAAAATTGTGGTAAAATTGTGGTAAAATGTAAAATTTAACTTTTTGTAACTGATGAGCAATTTTGTATTGCAGTATAAGGTCACTGCGAATTCTGCGTTCTTCAAGCGTGATTAGATCTAGTGGTTGTAGTCGTTTTTCGTAATTAAAATGCTTAATCGACGATATAACTTTTGTTGCATATTTTTGCACACGTTCGAAAAGGACGATTTTCGATTTAAGATGGAAGACCAGGCTTGTACACAATACTCCAGGTGCAGTCGAACGTATAGCTGGTACATTTTCTTCCAAAGCTGGATGCTACGGCAACGAAATGCCTTTTCGAGGCGACCAAGCATTCGATTTCCGGCCGAAGCTGCTGCTTCTACTTGTGCTTTCACTTTGAGGTTGTCGGATATTAGTACCCCAAGGTCGTGCTCAATCCACGTTGAAGATAAGTTATGTCGGTTACCGTTAATGTCTGCCATGGTATTGGTATATGTTAATTTATTTTTGCGGCAACTAACGTGCATTACTTTGCACTTCTCAATGTTGAAGTGCATAAGCTATGTGACCAACTTTCAGCGTTGTCAATGTCCGTTTACAGTGTTTCATAATCAGAGGATGATTGATTATTATTTATAATTCCTACGATCTTGCTATCATTAGCGTATAACTTGGTATAATTGCTAATGTTATCTGGATAGTTATTGACAAAAAGCACAAATAGCAGTGGTCCAAGTACTGATCCTTGAGGGACTCCACTTGTAACTTTTTTCCTTTCGGAAGTTTGTTCCCCAATAACTACACGTTGTTTTCTTTCACTTAGCCAAGATGAGATGCCTCTAATGCCGTAGGCCTGAATCTTGTAAAGGAGTCTTTTGTGTGGTACTGTATCAAAAGCTTTGGCAAAGTCTGTAAATATTATGTCAGCAATGTGTCCACGGTAAGCTGCCTCCGTGAGAATGTCACAGAATTCAATTAAATTTGTAAGACAACCTCTGTGATTTAAAAATCCATGCTGAGATTTTGAAATTAGATTGTGTAGTGTACAGTGTTTCATAATCCTCTCTTTTATAATTCTCTCCATTACCTTGCACGGTACAGAGGTAAGAGATACCGGTCTATAATTACAAGCTTTGAGTTTGTTTCCTTTTTTGAAGATAGGAGTAACATTTGATTTACGCCAAAAGTCTGGGACATTTCCAGTTTGAAAAGATTGCTTGAAAATGAGTAAAAGAGGTATTGCAAAAGCTTTTGCACAGTTTTTTAGAACACGAGGATGTACTCCGTCAAGTCCCATTGATTTTGTGTCGTCAAGGCAGAATAAATAGTTTTGTACTGTAGCAGCTGTAAACAAACTTTCGTCGATTTCGCAAGTTGATTTTGTTTTCTCTTCAATATTTGAAAAGTAAAGGTGTTAGGAGTTCTTCGACAAAAACTGAATGAAAATAGTTGTTTATAGTTGAAGTTATAAACTTAGAGTCTTCGGTGATGTTATCATTGCTAGTTTTAAGCATACTAATGTGATTATGCACTTTAGGCTTGTTTTTTACGTGTGAGTACAGACTTTTTGGAAATTCCTTGAAACTGCTTACTAGTTGTTGTTCGTAATAAAGGACAGCCACATTGATCACTTTTTTAACGTGTTTGCATGCAGCCTGATGTTCATTACGTAATTTTGCATGAGAACCTTTACCAGCAGCAACGTATTTTTCCCAAGTTGAACGTTTTAGTTTTACTGCTTCCAATAATTTTGATGTGACCCAAAGATCTTGCTTTATATATATATATATATATATATATATATATATATTATATATATATATTATTTATATATATATATATATATATATATATATATATATATATATATATATTTATATATATATATATATATATATATATATATATATATATATATATATATATATATATATATATATATATATATATATATATATATATATATATATATATATATATATATATATATATATATATATATATATATAAATATATATAAATATATAAAATCTATAGAGGATGCCTCAGCTTTGCATTGTTACGTTTGGTTTTAATGGTTGCATGTCCGACTAATAAACTATGTCGACCGGCACTGTTGACATCATCGATCACAACAGTGAACAGTTATATAAGTACAAATCGAATGTCGTTTACTCTTTTAAATAGTTCCGCTCTTCAAATAACAACAGCAAAAAATGACCAGCATTGCCTTCAGAAATGCTCTGCCTTATCAACCTGCTTTTCTGTTAATGTATTAAACAACATCTCTACAAACATGGAAATAGAATGCCAACTTCTTGGTGAACAATCATATTCGAATAAAAACAAACTTATTTATCAAGCAAATTCCACCCACTATACAGTACTGGTGAGTTTATATAACAGTTTTAAAATTAAAGCTATTTTTCAACTTTCAAAAAACTTTTAAAAAATAAATTGTCATATTTTTACACAAAGTCATACACAAAATAATGCATAAATAGCTCGGAAAAAATGTCAACAAGTTAAAATCGTAAATGTAGGTGTTTTATTTAAGATATTGACAAACCGTTTAAGTCTTTAAGTTAATTCACATAAAATTTTTTTAAAAGGACCTCTAGTCATTTAGTTAGTATTTAAATTTATATTATTACACCTTCTGAATACAATTCAAATTTAAACCAGTACACCTTCTGAATACAAATTAAGTTATATCATTACACCTCCTGATCAAAATTTAAATTTACTTAGTTACTACTTCTGAATACAATTTTAATTTGCACCATTACATCTCCTGACCATTCAAAACAACGCTGTTACAAAACTACCGTCCCACAATATGCTGATTGAAAAATCTGACCTTAAGTCAAAAAAGCTTAAAAACTGTTAAAAATGTTTTTTTTTTTTGCTAAGATCATTTTCAGATTCATTATAAACAAAGTTCATTTTTTCCTTTTTATTTATATAATATAGTTTTCGAGTTTACTTCGAAAGTTTACCCCTCATTTTATTCGTAGAATCGCCTCTGATAACATAACGACAAGTTTGTACCTATTTGTACCTATAACATAACGACAATTTTGTAACTATTTACTATAGTATATCAAACCATAGCTTTGTAATTATCAATGTAAATGTTTAAGATAAAACTACTAAATAAACAAAATGGAAATAAGATAATCACAAGCAAAAAATGATAAAATTTTGGTTGGTATAAATAGAAATCTGACGTTTGCCACATAAACGTGTGATGTTTAAAGTTTATTTTTAATGGCATTCGCCACAACGGTAGGTAACGGCAAGCTTTGTAAAATTTTAAATGGGACTTAGAGATAAAGCATAGTGCTGCTTTCTTATTGGTGTTGTCATTAATTTTGATATTGACCAAACAAAGGTTAGTGGGGTATTTGGGTAAAAAATATTGCAAATGATTGGATTACAAGTAACTCATTTGATTATTGATTATAATAATATTATTATTGTGATAAGGTAAATACAAATTTTTGTATCACTTTCATCTAATTTTTTTAAATTATTCAATAATTAAAGCTTTAAACTAAAGGTTTTATTGCATCTGAATAAAATGTTTTCGTAGCAAATCGGGTCTTTAATTTATAAATAAAGTCAACCTAGTTTCAATTCTAATGGATTTTATTATGCTACACTAGAATGGGTAAAATATGGTAGTTTTAATGGGAAAAAATAGAGTTTGTAATTCCTTTAATCATGTAATTATACACATTAATTACTTCTAACTTGATTGCTATTTTATTTGATCAAACGGACAAATAGACCAATAGAAATAGATATTTATCATTCAGGTTTACAACTTGGAGAAAAAACGTTTCCATGTAGACTTACAAAGCAGAAATGTTTTTTAATTTAAATATATGAACACCAGTATTAAATTGGCCATCAATTTCAAATAGACTTCTATTACATATTACTATTGCAACCTATAAAGATGTTAATTAAATCTCCACAAAGTAGTCTGGATAACAAGTCTGTATACGATTAAAATGTTCTTTTTATTAGTCCTATTATGACTTGAATAGAATGTGTTTTTAAAATAGTAATTAGAATCAAAGTTAACGCCGATATCCCGTAGGCATTTTGTGGTTTAATGTTTACTCTTATATTTTGTTCTGAACCATAGATAGTATGATTATAGAGTATATAATATATAAGTATATATTATATAAGTATGCGTTTTGTTGTTGTGTCCTATGTGTAAGGCTGTCAAAAATTGCAAAAATGGTTGCCCGGGTACCCGTTGAACGAACGGGCGTGTACTCGGGTTCATGTAAAAAAAATAATATAAATTTTTTAAAGGCATAAATATGAAAGAACAGCAACTGGCTTTTACAAAACTTTAATTGGTTACAAATTAATAAAACTTTATTATAACCTTTCTTTTATTTACAATAAACTTACTACGCGCACTTAAAAAAACTTCTTTTTGCAAAAAATTTCTTTTCGAAAAACGGTATACCTTTTTAATAAGAAACTGAAAACATTTTATAATTTGCTTAAGGAGTTGTCCATATATTACGTCACGCTTAGTGACGATTTGTTACGAGGGGGAGGGGGTCTCGATTTTGTGACGCAACATTTTTTTTTTAGAGAAGACATTCTTTTATTTAAAAGAGTATCTGACCAAACCAAAACTCTCAGTTGATGTATCTACATGTTGATTGTAATAGACGGGTTGCAAATGTTTACAATCTAAGCGCACGCGTGGTAGTTGGTAGGCAAAAATATAAAATAAACAAGAACTTTATTTTAGACTACTTAATAAAAAATCACTTAACCTATGTCTTCTGACTTCCATTTTCTTGCTAATCCTGACGAAGAATTTTATTTTAGAAGTTGATATTAGAAAATAATGTTTTGTTTCCCAATCCTTATGGTATTGAGGAGATATTATAATCAATATATTTTTAATAAATATATACCTAAAAGAACAATAAAAGTATCTAATGTAAAACCGTGGATTGAAAAAGAAGTCAAACAAGCTTTAAAAATAAAGTATAAATTATGGAGCAAATTGGTATCAAAAAAATTTAAATCATTGTTTCTTCAGCAACAATACAATCAACAAAATAAATGAGTAAAGCAGCAGGTTAACATAAAATGATTAATCTACGAAAAACGAAATGTAGATCTGTCTAAACATAATCCAAAGTTATTTTTTAACTATGCAAATATTTCCAAGAAAATAAAAAAAGGAATAACCTCTATTTATGATATGAATGGAAACATTGTAATCAATGGAGATGATATAGAAAAAGTGTTGAATAAAAGTTTTAATTTCTTATTTGTAAACGAAGAATCTAAAAATGTTCCATATATAGTACCTAAAATAAATAGCACTCTACTTATTGATATAAATGATATAACTAAAAAAATAGAAAAAAACCTGCAAAAACTTGATGTTAATAAAGCTATTGGTGTTGATGGAATTAGTACTTATGTATTAAAAATGTGTTGTAAAACTATAAGTGTGATATTGTGTTATTGTGTTATTGCAATATTGCGTTATCATATTTATATTATGTATATTGTGTTTCTTTATATTTTAGATAATATTATTAAAACTTTACTTTAAAAACTTTAAAAACTTTTCAACTAAATTACTTATATTAGTCTTGATCATGTCTAGAACAATTTTATTATATTATCTTATTAACACAATGGATCGTAAAATATTCCGAAAAACTCTTCAAGATGAACCGTCAGAAGAAGAACACCTCTATTGGAGAAGGATGCTACAAACATATATCTTAAATACTAAAGTATTAGATACATGTAAATTAGATGTTTTGTTTGTTCTATGTGGTGCTAAATCCTTCCCACTCATCGAGAATCATTTAAACTTTGAAGATGCATTAACTATTTTAGACAATAAATTTTTAAAAAAAATTACACTTATAATGATGCGTCACAATCAACAAAACAACTTGAATCAGAGTCTGTCGAACAATTCATGGAAAAATTACAAACTTTAGTAAGAAAATGCCCTACAAAACCACTAACCGCAAACGAACATAAAAAAATGTTAATAAGTGATGCATTTGTAGCTGGCCTTTTATCTCCAATGATTTGTCAGCGCCTCTTAGAATCATCTAACGACTCACTAAAAAAACCTTTACTTACAGCAACAACTATGGAACTAGCAATCGAAGACACTAAAACTTTTTCTTTACCTTAACAACGTCCTATTTTTGCGGCTACAAAACACTTTAAAAACTCAACTTGCAATACCTGTGGAAAAAAAGGACACTAGGCAGCTGTCTGCTTAAGTAACAAACTAAATCAAAGCAACAGCATAAAACCAAAACATCCAAATAAAACACCAATAAAAGGTGCGGCATCAAACTATGAGTGCAATAATGACATAAACCAAAATAACATCCTACATACGGCCACAATCTTAGCGTCAATAAACAAAAAATCAGGTCTGATAAATGCAATAGTCAACGGAATACCAGTAAAAGTCCTTATCGACACAGGCTCTGACCTATCATTTATCTCTCTAAATTTTATGTCTGAGAATAATCTTAACTTTAACACAAATATCAGAAAATCAATCTGTCTTGCACATAATTCACCCGCACAAATTTTTGACCAATATGGCCTTATACCTTAAAAATATGGCCTTATATCTTAAAAATAAGGAACAACTTATATTCAACTAAACTCTTTGTAGTAAAACAGCTAGTGTCACCTCTTATTATCGGTATAAACATTTTAAATAAACACTCAGCTCTTACACTTCATTTTGGAGGAAAACGTGAACCAATCCAATTCTACCTTGCCCTATCTTCTATAAAATCTAAATTGTATGAACTTATTTCTGGAATTGACACATCCCAACTCACTCCAATTGCAACATCTTCACGACGACACAATCTGAATACGGACTTTATTAATAGTGAAATTACTCGGCTCTTAAATGATGATGTTATTCAAATCAGTCAAAGCCCCTGGAGAGCCTAATGCTTTGTCACAAACCAATCCAAAAAACCTCGTCTAGTAATCAACTTCTCCAACACCATAAATATACATATTCCTCTGGATTCTTACCCCTGTCCTAGATTAGATGACCAACTAAATAAGGTAGCTATAAACAATATATTCAGTAAAATAGATCAAAAAAATGCTTACCACCAAATCCCACTAAAAAAGAGATTTTATTCATTGACTGCCTTCGAAGCTAATGGAAAGCTGTATGAATTTAAAAAACTCCCATTTGGATGCACAAATGAAGTAGCCATCTTTCAACGCATCATGGATGATTTTGTCTCAAAATGCCAACTACAAAAAACTTACCCTTATCAAGATGACGCTATTATATGCGGATCTAATCAAGAAGAACACGACAAAAAC